AACACCAAAAATTTCTCAAGAGTGTACGACCCAAATTGCTATAAGCTGCAAAGTATTTTAAATGCTTCACTGTTCTATGTTAAAGCAACGGAAACATTTTAATAAGAAAAGTTGAGGACTTATGAGCTCACATTTAATTGTTAAATTGGACATAGAACGGCTGATATACACGACAGATGAGAGTTGGTGAGGATGCAATTTCTCAATTTAACAACGTCATTGATTATGTATTACCATTAACTTAGCAATGAAATTACATTTCTCTGCTAGGAAGGTGTCACAGGATAGTTTCTCGTGAGACAAATGTTAATGGCTCTATTAAAAGTGAGACTCCAAAAACTCTTATCCACCTCATATTTTTTGCACAATGTTTCTAATGTTAACACGAGAATTGATGTTAAAATGTGAGTTGATAGTTGTAAAGCTATAGACAGTCAAGCTCAATCCAACGATCAAGAAGATTCCACTTGTCAAGAGATTAGTTGATAAAAGTTGTTAGTTTGTTAAGAATTAGTTTACTTATTGTGTAAGTATTGTAACTAGTATAAATAAGAAATCCTTGTATCCATTGAGATGGTGAAGAAATAATATCAGTGCAATACTCTCTCATTCTCTTCGATCTCTCCTTCTCTCTCTAGATTATGTGCATACAATTTCTCTCTAAAACTATCACGCCCCGATCCCGACATACGTCTAGGATCGACACGTGATGTCACCAAATACTCGTATCTCTAACTTACCCCGCCTCCGGGATAAGGCAAAGCATAACTCGAAAATCGAATCACATAACAATTTTTCATATACTTTATGGCGGCATCTAACCTCCTCGTTAGACTGCCTACGTACCCTCAATAGGGATCAAGCCATTCGTAGTTCACCATTCACCTTACCAGAACATTTGTCATATAGTTCACTTTATTTTCAACATGATACCTCCATCCACATCATGTAGTATATCAAATAATCAACAAAGCACAATATTATTCTCAAGCCACATTGATCAACTAAAATAATCATAATAATAACAATCATATCCAACGTTATTCCACAATTCCGTCAATTTGTCATTTCATGACTCAAAGATGCATGATCTTAGCATTTAACTACGTTAATCAATCAATGCGAAAACATATCATTTCACAAATTTAATCAAGGAACTCTATATATTCTCTATTTGGATTTTGAGTAATAAACATGGTGAATCTAAATTATACTCACAAGGTCTTTTGTGGGTAATTTCCATTCACTCGAATCTAGAGTTCTAGACTAATCTTATGGAAATGAGCATGAGCAAGGATTCCGAACCACTCAACGGAATCCAATAACATCGGTTTCCAGGCCACTCGACGGAACCAAAATATCAAGCGGTTTCTCTTAATCTACCCAAATCTATCACATGTATACTCATGCCTACATCATGGGAATGGTGCATTGGGTAAATCAGAACTTGGATAAACTGCGAAGCTCGGGTGAGTGACAATAATACAAGTATGTGATAATCAATAAAAAAAAAACCATCAATCACAGTTTATAAACCTCAAATATAAGTTCGTAAATATGAAAACATAGTCAAGTCTCTAACAACTCCGAATGAGTCACCTAGACATCCAACGACTTTTCCCATTCAAACCACCAAGATTCTCAAAAACCATCGTTCATATATACATTAAAACTAGGGTTAGATGGACGCAGTTCGGCCGAAGCCTACATAACTAACCAAACAAGAAATGGCCCTCCAAAGCGGATTAACCAAGCAGAGTCACTTCTACAGTTGTTAGGAAGTGATCACCCAATGCTTAGGTCTTGCTCTAAGGGTTGAGGGGAGTCTATTGGTGGTGGTGATCAACGGTAATCGTTGTCGGAATCACCATAACATGAGAAAACTCATCGAAAAACCCTCAGCACTTTGTGGCTTTGATGGTAATTTTTACCACTTGTAAGACAAAGGATTAAACCATAGAAAATTCTTGCAAGAGAACAAGTGTTTGTAGTATAGAATCGCTCAAGCAAGGTCGATCTCCTCAGGGACTGATATAAACAATTTACGAGTTTTTTTGTATTTAACTTATTTAACTCTAAGAACTACACTAATTTGACGAAACTAAATACTACTGGATGTGACTTAAACACATATCTAAAATGGGAATTGGCTTATAGGAATAGTGATCCAACTAAACAAAACAAGTACATATATAAACTCAAGATAATACAAATAATTTAAGAAAATTAGATTGACAAGGTGCTAGAGTTCAACCTTTTACCAACAACACTCCTACGTAGCTTTTCCAATTGCTTAAGTAATCGAAAACACATATGCCTTTAAGGTTGGGTTTTCCTTGTGTATGTTTTACTTGTGACATTCAAGTTAAAACGCATACCACTACATGCAATTTATCCATGACATTTGGAATATAAACATGAATGATTCATTAATCTTGATGAAAATCCTTTTGTTAAACCATGTAATCCCTAAGAGTATGATATTTACCTTAGGAGAAATTACAATCCTCAATCACAAGAAGCATAACCAATTTTAACTTGACATTCGTTCAAAATTGCATCCAATGACTTTTCTAAGCATCCTAATGGTGATCAATCATCAAGACACATAGATAGTTTAATTCAATGATTGAAAATATCAAAGCAAGCATGTAACAACACTTCAGCAATTGAAAGAAAAATCTACGTAATCATGTTGCGGCTCATGGCCTCACTTGAGCAAACAGAAATTAGTTATACATAATTATTTGAATACATAAGAAATTATCCATGAAGAATCAAAGAAAGAGACAACCCTTTTTTTACAAAGAAGCTATCTGCCCTTCTCCTCCTTCCATATGGAGCTGCGGCTCCCTTATGTTTCTGCCATCTTCTTCTCCCTGCAACTCTCTCCTTCTTCCTCTCCTCTCCGCTTCTACCCTCTTATGCCTTTCTCCTCCTTTTTGCGCTTCTGCTCTCTGCCTTTTAATTCCCCTTTTCATTTTTCCAAGCAACTGCAAAGTTGCCTACCAAAACCCAATAATCCACATTCCCTTTCTTTTCCTCCACCTTTTCTTTCCTCTTTTTGTTCCACTTCGTGTGTTCCCTCTTGCTTTTATTTTATTTTATTTTTTTCTTCTCTTTCTTTCCCACTTTTTGTTCCACTTCCGTGTGTTCCCTGGCCACATATTCCCTTAGTAGTTCTTTGGCCTGAACCACCTTGGAAAGCAGATTGCAGTACACATCAAGGTCCCGGTCCACACTTCTTTTGTCAATGTTTAAGGCTCCACATAACTGTTGAACATAACCAAAGTGTAAATGCTCAAACATTGCTATCATCGTGCAAGGTCATTGAATAATTGACTCCAATTCTTTTGTTTGTTTTTATTATTTCCTTTTCTCCTTTTTTGCTTGAAATTGATCCTAAAGCAGATTTAACTACACACTAACACAAGGTAAGGTAAAATGCAACCATTTTAACCCAAAAACATCACAAAGACTTTAGAAATGGATGGTATAAATGCATGAAATATATGAGTGATCAGGCTTCAACCTAGAAAAATGGAAATCTAACACTACATGGATGTAGGACTCATCATGAGCTTTCCATGGACACCAAGATCACCAAAAACGGAAGTCGGATGAAGGAGATATCGCCAGGTCAAAAATGATAGTTCGCAGGTCAAAAATGACCAAACTTGGGTCTCTCGCCTTTCCCCTCCTTGCTCTCTCTTCTGATTGGGCTCCTCTCCTTTTCTCTTCCACATTCTCTCCTTTCTCCCCTCTCCCTTGCTGCCACTTGGCAGCTTCTAAACATTTATTTATTTATTTCCCAACAACTAAAACGTCTCTAATTTCTATGTTATAACTCTATTTTACGAACAGTTTTTGCCTACGCGTTCGTGAGATCGAGCTTTATTTGAAAATATAAATTATGACATCGAAAGGTCTATGGAATTTAAATAATTAATTTCAAAACTTCGACCCTCATAACTAGTTTAATTAAAACCTAAATTCAAATAAATTAATATAAATTCCTGAAAATAATATAAAATCTCAATAATACAAATACATAAATATAACAATGAAATCCAGGAGCAGGATTTCACAAAAACACCATTGTTGATCTTCAAGCTCAAGACTACTCAATTCAACAATAACGAATCCATAGAGAGTTTCACTTTTAAAATAGTCCCCTTAACATTGCTCTTTTCGTAAATATTTTATCCTAATCATATTCATGGGTCAAATAGTTAAAATATAAATAACATGAGACCAGCAGCATGGACTCAATGCCTTCCCTACTACCACATGAATGTATATGCGACCATATGGTTTGAAGAGCCCAAACTGTTATTGCAAATGTGCTATAGTTAAAGCGACTAATGCCTTCTTTACTTGAGCTCTTTTTTCTTTACGTGACATTTTTTTATCTTTTAAAACCCTGACATTATTTTTTTTCTTTTTTTTTTTTGTAATAAAATTGTCAGGGAACGCAGACAAACCAATTGAGGAATATTGAAACCTGATCTCACATCTTGTACTCTTCGATCTAAAAGAAAAGAAAAGAGGAGCCATCAGGTTTAAGGCCATTGGCATTTTAGCTTAATTAAGTATAATCTAGAGTGTTGATGTGTTCACTATTCAATTAAATATGCTAATTACAGCTATTATATACATGTATCTGACTGTGACCTATCCTTAGCTGGTTTTAGCCCGATTATTTTTTTTTATCACCAAACAAAAACCTAATTAATATGTGTTGCGTCATAATTTTGAAAGGTTAGGATTGATGACTACAGAGTCTACTACCCAACTTCAACGCGGGTGATGGAGTCGCTTTCAATCCAAAAATAAAAGTTACACTTACCCCATAAAAAATAGTATAAGGTGTTTAATTAATGTTTATATAACTTCTCCAAAAAATAAATATTTATACCAAATACTAATACCATACGAAATAACATTTTTATAAGAAAGTCTAATTAATCAGAAGATTAACGTGACATTTCCAATGAAAAACTATAGGTTGGGAAAAGCTAACAATAACTAGAATGCATGAGCTTGAAGGCTGCTGGTGAACAGCCAAAGATTTGTTCTCATCATTGAACACAAAAGTTCCTTAACTTCCAAGGCTGCTGCCTTTTGTCTTCACCATAAGACTCCTTCCTTTTGCTTCAAAGTTTCCGAAGGATTTTGCCTTCTTTTGTATTCTTCTCTAATCCTTAGTCAAATTCCATTATTGTTTAACCACTACCCTCCATATATACCAGTTATTAAGGCTTGTTCTTTCTTTCCAAGAACCAAAATGCCCTGGAACTGCTTTTGTTGCGTCGCCGAAGAAGATCAAGAACCAGCTCAGACCAGGTACACTTGATATAGTCTAATTATAGCCTGATCTATGTTAATTGTTGATTAATTATATCTTTAATTGTTACAAAGTTTCATGTATTTATTAGCCTGGGGTTTGTTTGTTCATTTTAGTATGGTTCACAAGAATAGGGATTATCCGTGGGAAATATATTCTCTCAAGGAGCTTCTTCATGCAACAAACAGCTTCCACGATGATAACAAAATTGGAGAAGGAGGGTTTGGAAGTGTTTATTGGGGTCGAACAAGTAAAGGTGTTGAGGCAAGGCAATCATGTCCATCTTTTACCTTTGATTTTCGATTCTTCTGACGATCATGAGCAGCTAGCAAACTGCATGATCAATGAATTTCCAAATTATACAACAAAGTATTTTCCTCTTCTTTTTTCAATCGGTTAGTTTTAATAGTCACACTTAACTTCATCACATACGCTTATGTGTTCAGATCGCGGTAAAACGATTAAAGACGATGAGTCCAAAAGCAGAGATGGAGTTTGCAGTGGAAGTTGAAATACTTGGAAGGGTGAGACACAGAAATTTGTTAGGCCTGCGGGGATTTTATGCCGGAGGTGATGAAAGGCTCATAGTGTACGATTTTATGCCTAATCATAGCTTGATCACCCATTTACATGGCAAACTTGCAGCAGATTGTCTTCTTGATTGGCCAAGAAGACTGAGCATTGCCATTGGATCAGCTGAAGGTTTATCGTAAGTTATATAAAAGTTAATTAATCGTCAATTTGTGCTACAAATTGCTATAAAATATGAAAATAAACCCTTGATTGTGTCACCTTATTCTGTGTGTTCCTTTTTGGCCAAATGAATCATTTAGATAACTCATTCAAAATTCAGGCCATTCTTAATATATAGAATATAGATGTTAAAGATGTTAAAGATCTAGCTAGATAAAAAATTTATGAGCTTCAAAATTGTTATGACTTATGATTAAAGTTATTGGAAGTATGTTCACATCCTTAAACACGGACGTCAAGAGCTACTTGTCATCAAACTTGGTTCTAGGTTTGATTCTAATTTTGTTCCAGCCACTTCATAAAAAACATGTACATTATCATTGAAATATGAACACATACTTGCATTGATATTGTAGCTATACTAACGTATTCATGTGTATGTACATAACTTTAGGATTAAAAATCAAGTTTATTATTAATTCTTATACATTGATGATAATCTAATTACGCATAAATCGTATGAAGTAATTTTCAGTATGATTTAGCATTGTTCAATTTTCTTCGTCTGTTTCATTGTTAAGGTACCTGCACCATGAGGCCAGTCCTCATATAATCCACAGAGACATAAAGGCCAGTAATGTGCTTCTAGATACTGAATTCGAAGCCAAAGTTGCTGATTTCGGATTTGCAAAGCTGATTCCGGACGGTGTAACTCATCTGACCACTAGGGTAAAGGGAACTCTTGGATACCTAGCTCCTGAATATGCCATGTGGGGGAAGGTTTCTGAGAGTTGTGATGTTTATAGCTTTGGGATTTTGCTCTTAGAAATAATTAGCGGAAAAAAGCCGATAGAAAAACTACCGGGCGGAGTGAAACGTGACATTGTTCAATGGGTCACCCCCTATGTCGAAAAGGGTGCATTTAATCAAATTGTTGATCCAAGGTTGAAGGGCAAGTTTGATAAAGAACAAGTGAAATCGACAGTCATAGTTGCCATGAAATGCACCGACAATAGCCCCGATAATCGTCCCACCATGATAGAAGTGGTGGATTGGCTTAAGGGAGGTCTAGGAAGAAGGAAAAAAGAGATCAGAAAAGTGGAGGACACTGAGGATGATCAAGACGAAGGTTAGGACGGAATTGATACCCAGCATGAAGTTCATGGCGTGGAGTTATCTGATGCTAGAGAGAATATTATAAGGGCAAGATCACAAAGAAAACTTCAAAATCTCGATCCTTTTATTTTGTGAGACTGAAATGTATATGTTTGGCCTTTGCTTTTTGCTTGCGAATTTGAAATATTGTATTTTCCGTGAGTTTAATTAGGTTAGGGTAGTTTTATTCACGTATCTTTTTTTATCTCTTACATATCCTTAGCAATTGTGTGTCTATTAATATTCTTCAATTCAACCCAAACAGCTAAAAATTGAGAAGAATATATAGAAAGTAAAAATAAATGTGTAGAAAACACCTTAGATTATTGCCGTAAGGCGTCAGTCATGTATCCTAAAAAAGAATTAGAAGTCTAGAAACATGACTTGGTCTTACCGTCTACAGGTTTAAAATTCTTTAATCTATATGTACTATTCCCTTTTGGCTCATCTGTTTGTCTTGGTAGTGTGTGGCATTTCAATATAATTTTTTTTTATTAAATTTGTATCGAGAACTATGATTAAACTTAGGGACATTTTGATCCAAGTCCAAAAAAATTCAGTTGTTTTCAGAACAAGTCCAGTTTTATTTAATTTGATATTATACCCGTTTTGCCCTTTAGAGTAAAAATAAAACTAGATTTAAATTTTTTAGATTTTAAATTTTAAATGCCTTTATCTACCCATTTTCTAATAAAAACATTTTAAAAATTCATATACAACAAATATGATAAGTTCATCAAAAATTAAAATTGTGGGAGGCAAGAAACTTGTGATATCAATATAATTAATCTATAATATGGGTATATTATAAAATAGAAAAACATAAACTATTATGGGGTGGCTCAGTGGTTAAGGATGAAGTTCAGACCTGTATTTCACACGGAACGTCTTGAATTCTATTCATGGCGCTGGTGAATCACACAATGGTGACCATGAGAGGTTAAAATGCCTCTATAAGTCTTCCCAGCTCCCGGAATGGTGGACTGCCGTAGTGAAGTCACCAGCTGATTCCCTTTTTAAAGAAAAAAAACATGTGAGATTGATTATGAAAAAAAATTTACGATAAAGGTAGATAAACAAAAATATTGTCTACCTTCATATATACCTATTATATAGGAAGACAAAATACACTGTTAATCCTAAAATTAAGGGATTATGTGCATATACATATTTATAATAATTTATAATCTTAGGGCTATATTGGTACGAAAATGTAAATATGATGATGTGTAATCCTAGTCATTAGACCTATTTCACGTAAGTGGATTATTTTCAATTGTGGCTCACAAAATTGAATCTATATCAAGTTTTTTTTTCTAAAAAGAATGTCAAGCACTAATCAAGATTCCGAGGTTTTAATTATTTGGACCAATTATAATGATTTGAACTCTTTTGAACCAATTTTAATTATTTGGAAGTTTGCTACACTTCCGATCGACGAATGTTTACCTGCCGTAATTTGAAAAGGCCAATTGAACACCCATAGTTTTATACTTTTATTCTTTTCAAAATTTTCTTGGTCGGAATATTACGTGTTTTATTCTTTTCAGATTGGAAAATTGAAAGAATGAAAGCAAACGTCACCTTAATTGATAACATAAATTATGTCTTTGCTTTGCATGTTGAATAAATCATGAGATTGCTTGTATTTGTTGGCTACCGGACGTGTTGGTTTTTATATGAAACAAAAAATGAGTCACACCAAAAATTGAAATAAATCTCAAGTATCTCCAAAATTGACGGAAGACAAAATCGAAACTTATCATACTATCATAACTCTAGTGAGAGAAAGCTTAAAGCAAGAAAGCTTGAGAGAGAGAGAGAGAGAGAGAGAGAGAGAGAGAGAGAGAGAGAGAGAGAGAGAGAGCAAAAAGGAAGACGAAATGAAATGAAATGCTCTGTATTGTGTCAGTTCCGTTAATGCCACAAATGCTTACGACTCGGTCCATATACTCAAGACTAAACTAATAAACTTCGCAGCTAAGCAACACTACAATCAACTAACCACCTTACTAAGCTAACTAATCACTTCACAACATGATCACATGTGGCATTCTCAAGATTAGTTTGAGAGGCTAATACTTTACGTCGCAACAGGAAAGGTGACCAAAAAGGCAAAGATTATAGAATGCGTATTAGACACCCTCTTTTTCTTTCTGAATACCCTTAATTACATTTTTCACTTGATTCATTCTTCGAATAATTCAAAGGCTAGAAAACAAACATATGTATGGAGAAGGGAAAAAAAAGTTGCAAAGAACACTTATATTAACCTAGCTAGGTTCCACACTCACCACAAACGACTATAAGCGTTGTATTGTTATTCCGCTTTGGCCCATCATATGAACTAGGCAATTTCATGGGCTTACTTTTCTTTTTGTTTGTTGAAAAATGAACAAAACTCCCTTACATATGAAATATAACACTAACATCCCTTTAGGTTTTAGTGTACTTTTACATAATTCCTTTAGTACAAATTTGCCCTCATTAGTAATTATACTTTTTTTTAAATGAAAAATCCTTTGAATAAATAGAATTAAAATCTTACATTAAACAATAAAAAAAATTAAAGAAATATCGTTATCTTTTTTCCTCTATCATGGACTCGGATCTTGTTCAGAATTCGGCATAAAAAAGTTCAAGGTTTCCAACGACAACTTGCATTTCGTAAGGTGATTCTTGGGAATTCGACGGTTTTCATATTTTTATGGCGGAGAGTGAGGCCAAGCTTGTGGAGAGGCTGATTAATCCAAAAACCGAGGCAAAGGAGTAGCTTCTTGTGAGGACAGCTAGGGAGTAGGTGAAGCATGTTAAGAATTTCCAATATGTTGTGGTGAATGGGGAGGGGATGCCCTAAACCCTATATTGATTTTTAAAAAAGTTTTATTTTTTTATTTTTTAAAGTAATTAAAAATGAGGGGCAAATTTTTGAAAACATGATAAATCTGAGAGGATGTTAGTGTAATTAACCCAAGAACAAAATGAAAATTAATAAACTTCCTACACAAATTTCCCCTTATGGGAGATTTTGCATGTAATTAAACGTCCGAATACCTATACTCTATCAATAACCTATGGAGAAGTATTCGGTCATACTACGGCATATCATCTCAATTACAATCAAGAAATTGTCTTATCTATGATGTATCATGTAGGGTAAGCTCGACATGATCTCAATACTCTCCAACTCGAAAGGTGTCCTCTAGTTGAATTATGAGATTAGGGTTTAATGCTTTTGACTTTTGTTTTAATTAACAATCGAAATACGAATAGGTTTCCAGAGGAGCCCATAAATTCTGTGTAAATCTTCATCACAACAATTAATATAATAAATACATAAAACGCGTCCATTAAAATCAATGAAGAAGATCTGTGACAAGAAAATTAATTATAATTTTTTGTAAATATTGTTACTTATTGTTAGAGTATATAGTATATGGAGGGTGTGGATCATGACACGTGTTATTAGCTAAACAGTTAGGGCAGTTAGGATTGTTGCTATTGTAAGATTCGGATAAGGCAGTTAGGTGAATATCCATCTATATAGCAACTATATCTTTGTAACTAGAAAATCAATCAAGAAAATACAAGTGAAAAATCACTCTTTCTCTTTCTAAGTTTTCTCTGTTTCCTTCTTCTTCTTCTTCTACAATCTCTCTGTTCTCTTTTTATGTATAATGCTTAACATGGTATCAGAGCCAGGTTTGGTTGTGTTTCTAGGTAACAATCTTATATCTTGGGCCTCAAAGAAACAACAAATAGTCTCGAGATCATCAATTGAAGCTGAATATCGAGCTCTGTCATCCACTGATGCTTAATTGGATTGGCTGCAACAACTGTTTCAAGTTTTGCAAGTTCAAATTCCTCACCCACCAGTCCTTTTTTGTGACAATCTATCTGTAATCGCATTGTCCTTTAATCCAATTCAACATCCGCACACAAAACATATTGAAGTCGATGTTCACTTTGTGAGACAACTAGTTGCAAACAAGAAGCTCTTAGTTTAGTTTGTCTCTTCTTCCGAGCAATTTGTTGACATTCTTACCAAAGGCCTGAGTTCAACATTGTTCAATACTCACTGCAACAATCTCATGCTTGGATTACCATGAGCTTGCGGGGGGATGTTAGAGTATATAGGATATAGTAGGTGGATTATTGCTATTGTAAGATTCATATAAGGCAGTTAGATGAATATCCATCTATATAGCAACTGTATCTTTATAACTAGAAAATTAATCAAGAAAATACAAGTGAAAATCATTCTCTTTCTCTTTCTAAGTTTTCTCTGTTTCCTTCTTCTTCTTCTACAATCTCTCTGTTCTCTTTTCTGTATAATGTTTAACACTTATGTGGTTGTCCACGAATATGTATTTGGGTTCAACATGCAATATCTAAGGAGGAGGGGGAGGGCGTCAGGTAGTCGACAGTCGGCACCCCTCAGTTACGTTGAATCCTTATGAGAATGAATCCAGAACGAAATCGCGCTAAAGCTAGGGCGTCACCCGTAATTGGCGCGCTGTGTGGCCCGAGCACAGTGATAAGTGAGTAAGGGTCGCTGTATCTCCATCGGCACCCGAATGCAGTGTTAAATGAGCAAGGGGGCCATAGAAACTTCTTTTCGAATGACTCCACTCAAAGTTGTTTAGGAGCATATACTCCTATCAACTTTACACAAAACACACAAAAGAAGTACTTTGATCCTATTGGACGGGGGATGGTGAAGAAGCTAGGACAGAAGGGTAGAGTTCAAGAGAGTAGAATGCGTTTAGGAACGTGGAATATAGGAACCTTAACGGGAAAATCTATGGAAGTAGTGGAAGTTATGGTGAGGAGAAAGATAAATATTATGTGCCTATAAGAAACTAAGTGGGTTGTTCTTAAGGCAAAGGATCTAGAAAACTCAGGGTTTAAACTTTGGTATTCGGGCACAAATAGAACGAGAAACGGTGTTAGCATCATCGTGGACAAGACCTTGACACAAGATGTTGTAGATGTCAAGAAGGTATGAGATAGAATCATGGCAATCAAGATTGTAATAGGACAAGAACTCATCAATGTGATTAGTACGTACGCACCTTAAGTAGGGTTGGATACGAGTTCGAATGAGAAATTTTGGGAAGACCTTGGAGACTTGGTGCAAGGAATTGCCCAGACGGAGAAGTTATTTATAGGAGGAGATTTAAATGTACATGTGGGCAGGGAGACAAGCAACTATGGAGGTTTTCA